AAAGAGCAAAGAAAGAGGGAGGCACAGAACTGAAGTAGGCTCCAGGCGCTGAGCTGTCAGCACGGAGCTCGACATGGGGCTCGAACCCACAAACCGTGAGATCCTGACCAGAGCCGAAGTTGGACACTTAACCGACTGAGTCACCCAGGTGCCCCTTTCTCCTTCCATTTAATTCAACATTTGTTTACTGAATAATGTAGTGCATGAGGCGGACCTGTGAACAAGGAATTATAATCAGTAAGGTAAATGCAATGGCAGGATGAATGAGGTACAGAGGAGGAAGGACAGCTTAGTCAACTAATTGTTGTTCAAGAAGCAGTAAAAGAAGAAAACACACAACCCTGGAGATAGGTTCTGAAGGATGAATAGGAGCCTGCCAGGTGCAGGCAACATTCCAGGCAAAGGGAATTGCACACGTACAGAGGCACTGCATCCATTCAGATTTACATTTGTGTGAGCACCTACTCAGTTCGGATCACTCTCCCGGAACCAAGAAAAAAAGAAAAAGTGCTTCGAAAATCGGCTTGGGGCAAACACAATTCCAAACGCTGTCACACACTATGATCTTATTTTTTCACGTACAACTCGCTGAGATGGCTGGGCAGTGCTCACTGCCAAAGATTAAAGGGGCGAGCCTGGAAGACGACAGTTACGTGACAACTGTACGGCGCCAAGACCAGGCCTAGCACTCCAGGACTCCCGGACACCGCCCCAGTCTTCCCGACTCTGGGGGCACGGCCCCACTCACCTCTGCAAGTTCTCGATCTCGGCCGGGATGCTCTGTAGCTGGTTGCCGCCCAGGCTGAGGGTCTGCAGCGCGCGCAGCTCCAGCAACGAGGCGGGCACCTCCTGGAAGCAGTTCCCGCTGAGGTTGAGCATCTGGAGGCTGCGGCAGAGCGGCGACTGGGCCAGGCCCTTGGGCAGCGCACCCGGCCCTCCGAGCCGGTTGTTCTTGGCCAGCAGCGTGCGCAGGCCGCTCAGCGCTAGCAGCTCAGGCCCGAGCGCGGTCAACGCGTTGCCGCTCACGTCCAACAGCTGGAGGTGTGGAAAGCCGCTGCCCAGAGCCCGCGGCAGCGACACCAGACGGTTATGAGGCAGCAGCAGCCGGAGCAGCGCCTCCCGGGCGCCGCGCCGCTCCTCGCCCCGCGCCTCCAGCTCCAACTCCAGCGTCTCGGGGGACACGTTGAGGCGGGACATGTTCAGTTCGGCCTCCCCCGCAGAGACCACCGCCGCTCCGGCCTCCTCCATGGCGGCCGCCGCGGGGCGCGGGGCCCCGGAACCGAAGGGCGCCGCGCGCGACCCACAGGCCGGGAGCTCCGCCGCGCCCCGGAACCTGAACCGAGGGCTGCGTCGGAAGTGGCGCGGACAGGCGCTAAACCCGCGCGTCCCCGTCGGGTCACGCGACGCTAGGCGGCGGGGTGCGCGCGCCGCTCGGGGGCTGGGCTGTTTTTCACTTGGCGCGTAGCGCGTAGCTGGGGCGCGGGCGGGAGCAGGGGCCGGATGGCTGGTAACTAGTGCTTTGAACCTCGGAGGGTCTAGAGTCCCTGAAGTCTCATTGACCTCTCCCCAGAGTGAGGGACTGCCTCGGTAAACAGCCCTAGGACTGTTTGCTTATTTGGCCTCGAGGGTTCGCGCGTCATGGTGCACCGCCCACTTGGTTCCCAGGTTAGGAGTGGGCCCTCTACGCCGCAGGATTCAGTGAGAAGACAGGAATTTAGTGATGAGTCATCTTCAGTACAGCAATCCCAGGAATTTAAAGGCCCGGAAGTTACCAGGCCGACTTCAAAATGCAAAGACAACTGGAGTAGAAAAACAGAACCCCTGGATCCTTCCTCGAGTTCTCTTATTAAATAAGCCTTTGTTCTTGGACAAGGGGTTTGATTTCCGTTTCTCCATCCATAAAGTATGGATAATACTTGCCCTGCTTACCCTACAGGATTGATTTCTTTTTTAACCTTGAAAAAAGTAAGGTATATCAAGTAATGATGTTTCTACATTTTAGCTATGGAAGCTTTTCTGTGGCTTTTGGTTTAAGTTGTAGTGGCTGGAAATGAATTTGGGAGCCAAGGAGATTTGTTAATTTGAGATAGTTCAAATTAATTGATCAGTTTAAGAACTACGCATTGAGATTTTACTGCAGGTAAAAACTGCAATTAACTGGCAAAATCCTGACTCCGGCTTTAATTCAGTACTTCTAATTAACATATTTGCCCCAAACTCAGTCTTTTCTGAAATTACTTAAAAAAATTTTTTTTAATGTTTTATTTATTTCAGAGAGAGAGAGAGAGACAGCATGAGCGGGGGAGGGTCAGAGATAGAGGGAGACACAGAATCTTGAAACAGGCTCCAGGCTCTGAGCTGGCTGTTAGCACAGAGCCCTACGGGGTCTCGAACCCAAGAACCGTGAGATCATGACCTGAGCCGAAGTTGTACGCTTAACGGACTGAGCCACCCAGGCGCCCCTGAAATTACTTTTTATAATTTTGAAAAGTCATGAGTAGAAATGAGAAAAATATTTAGCAATTTTTTACTAATTGTATAAAGTTAGTATATAATCACTGACATTTACTTGCTTTCCTCCTAAAGGAATAAAGTAACTTTTTTCTTGACACTCATTTATGTGAGAAACTTTATGCCTCTTACTGGCTGCCAAAATTTCATTTCTGGCTGAGTTATAGTAACTCTGGTTGAGTTATAGTGGGAGGATATACTTGGACAGTTTAAACCAGAGATTGAATGTTTTTAAAACCAATGATATCCCTGCTTTTGAAACCTGTTTCTAAAAGGTCCTCTTAAAAATTAGACCTTGCTTGGGATCAAGATCACATACTGGCAGGGCCCTCATATGTGAAAATTGCAGTTACTTAAAATAATATAGTTTTATGCTTTTAAAAATGTGTACATGTCTGTGATAAAAATTAAGTGACAGGAATGTCATATAAAATGAGAAAAATGATTTGAATGTGATTCAGAAATAGTTAACATTACAAATCAGTAAAATGAAGGAGGAAAGATGAAGATAACCTCAATAATAGAGAATGAAGATGCCTGATAGAAAGTTTTAAACAGGAGCGCCTGGGTGGCTCTGTTGGTTAAGCATCTGGCTTCATCTCAGGTCATAATCTTGCAGTTTGTGGGTTTGAGCCCTGCATAGGGCACTGTGATGACAGCTCAGAGTCTGGAGCCTGCTCAGATTCTGTGTCTCCCTCTCTCTCTTCTCCTCCCCTACTTGTGCTCTGTCTCTCCAAAATAAATAAACATTAAAAAGAAAGTTTTAAAGAAATGTTTAACGTGAGAATCGCTTTCTTGCTCATTATAATAAGCCCTATCTTAACTACCATGGTGTGTTTCTTTTCCTTGCAGCCAGATAGGTCTAAGCAACATCCTCCAACACTATAGTGGACCTTAAAAATATCCAGGCAGCCTGGAGAGTTATAAAAACCCTGTGGGAGTTGAGGGAGCATTGGTGGCTTATTGTCCTTCACAATGAAGGGCTCTGTCTTATGGCTAGATGAAGGAGATGCCAGAGATGCAGTGGGGGCACTGGAGAGTTTGAGGGGAAAAGGAGACAGCATAATGCATTACCTAGGGGGAAGGATATGGATTTCAAGGAACTGAGAGAGTACATGGCATATTTGTCCACGTATTAAAACTTAACCATCAGGCTACTCTTGGGTAAAAGTGAGTATATTGCAGGATAGATCTCCTGATTAGGATTTTTATTGAAAAAAGAAGGGAGATCAAATGAAGAGAACGTCCTCCTTTGGCCACCCTTTGTAGGTTTCCTGAGAGCAAGAACTCTATTTACCATGGCACCCCACACTGAGACATAGTATGTGCTCAGTAAATAGTAAATGAAATAAATGCATGGATACGTTTTGGCATACCTGATTAAGATGGTCCTGTTACCCAACTGATTGCAGAAAAGCCAAGAAATAGGCTGAATGGAGGATCCTTTCATAAACCATACTAGCTGGGAGGCAACATACTGATGCAGTTAAAGCATGGGCTTTGGCTTTTATGAGATACAAGTTTCAGATCTCCTCTCTGGAAGTCAGATTTCTTTCATTTAATCCTGATTTTGTTACTTAATACTTTTTAAGCTTTGATTTTACCATCTGATTGTGAAGAACATTGTTTCATAGGGTCATTCTAAGGATGAATCTTAAGTGCTTACCATAGTACCTAGTTCAAAGTAAATATTTCATGAGTAGTGGCAATTATTATTATCATTAGTATTAATAGTAATAGTAGTTATTGTTACAACTATTATTCTCTCACACTTATTTTATCATGATCAAGGTAAAGAGAAAGTTGAGAACAATCTTTACTCATGATGGCCTAATTTACTGCATAAACTGTGGTTTTCTGCCAGGGTCATGCCATGTTTTAGGATTTAAAATTGAGAGGTTGGTCTGAACTCTCCTCGCTCCTGAGTCTTGACTCCCAAAATTTATGCTTATTGTTCTGTCCCCTAGTTATATCAAGACATCACGCCTCCTAAAATGGATTTCTACCTTCATTCCAGCTACCTCTGGATTCAGATAGGCATTCTGAAACACTGCTTTCATTATTTCAATCCATCTCTCTCCCTCCTCCCCTGATCCCATGTCTTCTGTTAGTTACCAGATGAAGGTCAGTTGTTTAGCCTGTCATGAAAGGTTTTGTATTCTCTCCATTGCTGAATCCCTTTCAGTTTGGCTTAATCCACTTTGGCCTGGGATGGTTTAAACATCTGTTATCTTCCTACCAAATATAGTCCAAATCTCAAAAAGCCAGTTTAAGGCAGCATTGGAAGCAGAGGGAGCTGCAGTCTTTAGATCTGTCATGAGGAGACAATGGCCTCTATATTTACAGGGGCCCAGAGTGAGTCTGCAGTGTGTTTGGTCATTTAGGGTCTACAGTTTGGTTATCATTAGCAGTTTCTTTCTCTTCCTTAGTGTATTCTTGCTGTAGAACTGACATATTAAGAGGTTTTCCCGAAGATCTTTCCCCAAACCAGGTGTCCTTGATGAGGACTCTGGGAAGCTGAAAGTCAATGAGAGAAGACTAGGCAAAGTCCTACCTGTTCTGCAAGCCAAAAGGAGGACTAATGTTCCGACGTTTTCACAATCAGATCTAGAAAAGCAGAAGCAAAGTTATCTCAAGGAAGTCATTGCTCATATAACACACCCAAAGGACACTAACCAAGGTGCCCTGGGGGAACTATGTGCCTTGATGGGTCAAGTTCATCATGTGCCGAACCCAAAATGGCAGCATCCTTCGGACCTCACCATGCGAAACTATGCTCGGTTCCGACAGAAACCTCTGCAAAGATACAGTCTGACTCAGTGGGTTGACAGGAACATGCGAAGCCACCATCGGTTCCAGCGTCTCTCAGATTTCCCACCAAGTCTGTTTGTCTCATCCCATCAGCAGTGAAGGTCTCCGTCCTCCAGGCTCCTGTACTGGGTCCCGTTCAGAGCAGCAGCTCATCTTCTGCTCTTCTGTGCTTTGTAGATGTTGAATTTTATTTTTCACAAGATTTTTATTTAAAGAACTTGTCACCTTTTGGGAATTCCCATGGCTGACTTGAATTTTTTTGTATAAGGTCCTTCTTGTTTGTCTGTGTGCATGCGTTTAAGCAATGTTAAGTTTTTATTTTATTTTATTTTTTTAATTTAAGTTGAAGGTGACCACTTCTTGAAAGCCGGCATTAAGCCAGAATACCAAGGCGCAGGCAAAGCACCTACCTCTGCGCAGAGGTGAAGTCTACTTCTGATGCCCAAAAGAAATCATCTTTTCATGTCCTGTAAGGAAGAGATTACCAGGCTGCAAGCCGGCAATAATTACTGCTGATGACATAAATGGACAGAAGTCACTTTTAACAACCCCTCTTACTTTTTTATTTGAATCTCTGAATACCTGTCAGTATTGTAAAGTTGGTAATCCACGACATCTGAAGTAGGATGGAGCAGGACAAAAGTCCTGTTGAAGGGACACATTAAAAGAGTAAATCTTCAAAAAAAAAAATTTCTTTATTGAAATTTTTTGAGGATTCAAATAATGACGTGACATTTTTTGGATCTGGATGTCTTTGGCTAAGCATTTATTAGAGCTATAAAAGCATCCTGATGACTACTCCCATTGAAATCCCTCCAGTTAGAGGTTTTTCTCTCATTTAGGGAGATATTTTGGCAACTGTTTTGGGAATCTGGGTGGCTATGTATCTTTTTAATTTTATGCACTTGCTTAGCGTATGTTTTGTAATTGGGTTGTTTTACCTTTACATGGATAGCTAGTCATAGCAACAACCATAAACAAGTTAAAATACTTCTAGCCCCCAGTTTATTCATTCTCAAATACTCATTGAGAACCTCTTGTGTGTAAAACAGTGAACAATCCATTGTAAGTGTATAGGGGTAACTAAAAATAAAGGCTAACATTTATTGGTTGTTTTCAAATGCCAGGCACTGTCCTAGGGGCTCTGTCATCATTATTTTATTTAATCCCCATACTCATTCTATAATGTAGGTATTATTATCCCTATTTTACAGAAAAGAAAATTGAGTTGTGGTAAAATTAAGTAACTTGCCAACTCACACAGTTATGATGGGGCTGAATAACCAAATAGTGGAGTATGACTCCAAAGTTTATGGTTTTGTCCAAATACAATCTCTATCTTCAAGATGCTTATAGTAACAGAGATTAAACATGAACCTATAATAAACAAATAATTCAGTTTAAAAATGGGCAAAGGATCTGATGGACATTTCTTCAAAGAAGATATACAAATAGCCAGTAAATACATGAAAAGATGCTCCATCTCATTAACAAAAGCAAATCAAAACTAGAAAGAGATACCACTCAGACCCATGGGGATAAAACCAAAAAACAATGAGTGCTGGTGAGGATGTAGAGAAATTGGAGCCCTCCTACCCTGCTGGTGAGATATAATATGATGCAGTTACTTTGGAAACCAGCCTGGTAGTTAGTTCCTCAAAAGTTAAAAAAATGAGGGGTGCCTTGGTGGCTTAGTCGGTTAAGCGTCCGACTTTCGCTTAGGTCATGATCTCGCGGTTCGTGGGTTTGGGCCCCGCGTCCGGCTCTATGCTGACTGCCAGCTCAGAGCCTGGAGCCTGTTTCAGTCTGTGACTCCCTCTCTCTCTGACCCTCCCCTGCTCACGCTGTCTCTCTCTCTCCTAGAAAAAAAAAAAAAATATATAAAAGGACAAATTAAAAAAAAAGTTAAAAAAATTAACTCCCATTTAATCCAGCAATTCCACTCCTAGGTTTAGACCCAAGAGAACTGAAAACACGTTCACACAAAAAGTTGTACACAGTGTTCATAGCAGCATTGTCCATCATAGCTAAAAAGTGGAAACAACTAAAAATTTTATCAACTGATAAACTGACAAATAAAATGTGGTTCTCCATACAATGGCATTTTATTTGGCAATAAAAATCAATGAAGTACAGATACATGTTACAACATGGATAAATTTTGAAAACATGAGAACATGAAAACATAAGGTACAGCTCAGGAATATACTAAAAGCCACTGAATTATATACAGTTTAAGTAAATGAATTATATGGTATGTGAAATTTATCTCAGTAAAACTATTATAAACCTAAAGTTACAAAAATAGGAAGGAACAGGGTCACCGGGGTGGCTCAGTCAAGCATCCAACTTCGGCTCAGGTCATGATCTCATGGTTCATGGGTTTGAGCCCCGCATCAGGCTCTGTGCTGACAGCTCAGAGCCTGGAGCCTGCTTTGGATTCTGTGTCTCCCTCTCATGCTTTGTCTCTCTCCATCTCTTAAAAATGAATAAATGTTAAAAAACTTAAAAATAAAATAAAATAGGAAGTAACATTTGGTAGCTGGCATACAGAGGCATAACCAAATACTGTGAAAATTCAGAGTAAAGACACCTTTCCACACTGCTGCAATTAGGAAAGCTTTCATTGGATGATGGCATTTTGGTAGAGATGTGATGAGGCACATGGAATTGGGGGAAAGGAAAAGAAGAAGGTATTTCTTGAGAAAGAATGACAAAAACAAGAAGCAAATTACAGCCCATGTCTGGGAAATGGTGGAGAGTCTGCTTTGGCTGATGTGCTTTGTGCTGATGGTTATGATAGCCAAGTATTGCCACACTTTGGAGAATAATGGGAGAAGATATTTACAATGGTGGCTTTGCCCCCCAAATCTAAGGTATGCTGTTATGATATGGTGTAATGGAAGAGTAAAACTTAAAATGATAAATTGGCCTAGATCATGGTGGGAGAGGTATGAATACCAGGTGAGGAGACCATCTCTGATTCTTTTCTTTCTGGAAGCTCTATATCCCATTTCCTTATTGCCTCATGGAAAGACTGCCAGGCTTGGGGCAGTCTGTGGAAAGTAGCACCTGTAGAAAGACCTTATAGCTGAGTACAAAGTGTTCTTCATGGTTCAGTACTGTGGTAGCACTAGGGTGTTCCTCCACTGCATCAGAGTGAAAGTCAAGTGTATGTCAAGACTCAATACCTGTAGCACGAGTTAGAGAAGTGATATGAACTGATCACAATTATTTCATTCCATTATGTTGTATTTCACAGTTATTTTATTGAGCATATTATATAAATAAAAGCCTATGCTAGGTGTTATAGGAGCTTAAACTAAAAAAGGCATCAGTCAACAGTTCATGTTAATGGATGTAGTTGTAAGTTTATTTTGAAACTTTGTAAGTGTTTCCTTCACTCAGCCACTAAAAGTGATTGGAGGAACTGAGAGGAACTGGAGATTCAAAGCGAGGAACTAAGTGCTTCATATATAGTTGGGTGGGGTGAAGGATCTAGGGCGAAGCTGCTTCTGGCACCCATCCCCAGCAGGTGGACTCCAATTCCTGTCTTTACCTCCTGGGCCTTGTTCTAACAAGGCTGCTTACAACAAAGTTTTCCTTCAAACTCTAGTTTATAGTCTATTTGGGCTGTGTAATGAGTGTAGGGATGAGGTCAACCCAGTTCAGACCCAGACCCAGTAATTCATGTGCTATGGGAGAAAGGTACCCTAATAAAGAGCTGGCCCTATAGAACTTGGGGTTAATGGGAAAGTCTTTGAACAGGAGATCCAAATCATACTTATCCCTAAGAGAAAGGGGATACCTCTTGAACCTTCTCCCTCTGTACCACATTATGTAAGTTTTGTCTGTCCATTTCCTTATTTTTTTGAGTTATATTTATCATAATGTAAATATGAAATCACTATAGAAAATTCAGAAATATGTCATGTAAACAACTAAAATCACACATAATTTCACCATCCAGAAGTAACCACTAACATTCTGGCATATTTCCTTCTTTTTCTATATGCACATTTTTCCCCCAAAAGGTTAAAATCATGCATATGTGTAAACATATATTGGGTTTTTTTTTTATTAAAAATCGTATAATAAGCACTTTCTGTGTCATTTAATTATTTTTCAAAAATGTGATTTAAAAAAATGGGCACAGAATGATTCCCCAATATTGGACATTATGGTGTTCTTTTGGTTTCGCTCTTATACCATAATGCCTTACAAACACTTCCTTTTTTAGCCAACAGATGCAGCTATCAGAAATATTAAGTCTCATGGAGTTCTTTACTGAGCTTTTGCTGCAACAGCTTGGTAATAACAGTATCACCGAGCCTTCTCCCTGGGGACTGCCACACAACTGTCCCTTCAAAGACATGCTAACTCCTCCTCACTTTTCTTCTCAGCTGGTTGATCAGAGGCACCAGCTGCCATACTGGTAAGCCCTTTCAATAAAGAGACTATTTAGAGAAATTGTTGGCTATGATTGTGAACTGGAGAGCCAAGTGAAAGGTAATGTGACTGAAGTATTTAGGATTCCATCTCAACTGTATCTGGTCCCCTTACACCTAGCATCTGCATAGAGCTAGTTCATAGACTTCTCATAGTTTTTCTGTAAATATGAGGTAAAAGGGGTACAAGCCCTAGAGGCAATACCTGGATACACTGCTAGAGTTGTCTGTTTTGATATAGTTAATACTCATCTTTAGTAGTATATAAATTTCTTTTTTTCCTTTTTTTCTCTTTCTTGTTATATAGTAAAACTTTGTAACACTGCATCTGATACAATTTTGTTAATTTGTTAAAAATACTTACAGGTGCCTACAACATCTGGAACACCATCATGGATGTATGGAAGACAAAGAGGACCTAGCCTTGCCCTAAGGGAGTCCAGTAGGGGTGATGAGATATGCATACAAATAACTATAAAATAAAGTAGACCAGGTTGGAAGAATATTTTTAGTGATGTAGAAATGCTCACAAAACAATGTCATGAGGAAAATTAACCTGAGCACTATATACAAACTGAGTTTTCTTAAAAAGTACACATATAAAGACTGAAAGAGAATATTCCAAAATGCTAATAGTGCTTGTCTGGGTAATGGACTTAAAAAGAGATTGTAATGTTCTTTTTTATTTTTTCAAACATGTTTTTACAATGAATCTGTATTACTATTAGAATCACTAAAAATATGCTTTATTAAATGAGTAGTATATAAAAGTACAAAATATGGTGGAAGTAGGGAGGAGCAAAGATTGCATCTCCTGGGGTTGGGGAATCGGGAAGGCTTTAAGATGTATATCTTTCCTAATGATGAAACTTTCCTTGGAAATAAATATCTTAGAAATAAATAATGAAATTTTACCAAGTTGAAAAGGAATATTGCATTCCTACAACTCTTTTTCTTTATGATATTTGACTACAGTCTCTCTTTCTCTGTCTCTACCACTCCCCACCACCTCTCTTTTGACTATAGCTCTAGTAGCCACAAGCTGGCAAGTTGCCTTTTAAATTTTATATTGTTTTAGACATGTCTTTCAAATTTTT